CCCCAAAACCCCAAAACCCCAAAACCCCTAAGACTGGAAAATATAGATATATAGAAATATGATTATGCAATATGATTAAAAGGGGAATTAATTATAATACTTGAAGTTTGATCGTATCATATTTCAACTTTTACATTAATTTTTCTTATTGTGATTATATTTATCAACTTGAGAGCATTAAAAAACTTAGATTTAATACTTGTAATTTCTAGCAAGCTTCCAAAATTTTTGATCGAAGTGGTTAGCATGATAAAAGTCAAGCAAGAATTGAGAAACATAGCAAAATTAAAAATAATCTAGTCCAGTAAGCTTGAGCTCTAGCATAGAATGATCCAAATTTAGAACAATATTTAGTGTTGCATTCATATTTGAATTTTTTATTGATGTATCTAACACAGCTTGGTAAGGCATCAAACAGTAAGGTTACTTTTCATTGTATGAAGTCTAGTTCTGGACCTATTTCTAAAGGAACACTGACAAGATTTCTCAAAGAAACATCTATTGCAGTACCTCAGAGTTAGTTAATCCAGTGAGGACTAAGAAGTAGCAGGATTTTTCTTTGCACCAATCAAAAATTCTAGTCATAGATGCTCAAATAGCTTCAATCTTAAGTCTATTATCAATATAGCTATTCTAAACAAAGCTCTTTCGTCAGCTACATGCTGACCATCAAAGAGATTGGCATAGATTCTTCTCGCAGCAATAGGATATAGTTTATTGATTTACATTCTGCTGAAAACAATATCGATTGGGTTGGTAACAACATCAGCAAAATAACCTCCTGCAAGTCCTGCAAATACCATATAATCAGGTTTAGCAATTCTTCTTGGGTCTTTATTGGTTTGCCATAGAAATATGAGAAGCAGGAAAATCTTGTGGTTGAAAAAGCTAATGTTCTTACAAAGAAAGCATCAAATGATGAGTAGAACTTTTTAACTCCGCCACCTGCTTGGTAGATCTCTTCAAAAATTTGGAATGGATACCATCCTTTTTAGTGCCTATTCCCATTAATTTTTCCCCCTCTTAGAGCATTTGAGACCTAATCCTAACCATTTCAATTGGTTGAGTAATGGCATGGGTGATGACACTTATTGTGTTAGCAGCAATGAATATTTTCCTGTTCATTATTTAATACCTGTTTCTCCAGTACTCTACTTCCATTTAAGTAGGCATCTTTTTTACTTGCTTATTTTAAAAATTATGTTTTTAA